TTTTTTTTTTTCATAATGTGCGGGGAAAATAACGCTTATACCGCGCAAAAACCCGAGAATTTGACTGCGTAAGTGAGACATCCAATCCCTCCGCTACTCTTTCATTCATTTCGATAGTGAATTAGCATTGGTGCATGTTAGTGAATCAAACCTGCCATCAGCTTACTGCTTGTAAGCAACCCTCAAAGGAGAGAACTTTTTACATAAACACACATCATCTGAAATTAAAATTACAATCAATAGCTTTATTAGGGGATAGTTATTATTTTTGGCATTTGTTATCCTTCGTATACCTTCGTATGTTTTCTCATCTCACACGGAGTAAATACATAGGAGTTTAGGGTTTTTGATGTTTTTAACATGGGTATTATTTTTTACCTGGCCACAAAAAAAAAAATTTTGACAGATAAAAGCTATATAAAGATGGCAGACAATTTTTTTGTGCTGATGGAATATGAGATTTAAAACTACTGAAACCTGAAGACATCCTCAATCAGAAAAGCGGATGAAGTTTTTATACTATTCCTCCTCATTGCTGCTCTGCTCTGTCTCCTTACCTGAAATAGTGCCGTAGATTTAATACTTCAGATTGGAGTATTTGTATTTAAAGGCACTTAATTTTTATGGATTTTTTTTTCCAGTACATTGATCCGCGTGATTCCGAGAAATTGTCGCAAGCTGAATTGGTTGTAATCGATGAAGCAGCAGCTATCCCACTTCCAATTGTCAAGAAGCTAATCTCCGGTATTTTTTTGTTGAAATACTCAAATCCTTTGTAATTCTTAGTGTGTTTCTGCAGCTACGCAACTGGCAATTGTTCTGTTTGCTCTGACCAATCGGCAGGTGGTCAGCTTGCTGGCGATTCGAGCGTTTTTTTTTTGTCTCCTGAGGGGATTAGTAGCTTTTGATATTGTATTGTGGTATTGTGCTTAACGGAGTACAGCTTACGAGCACAAAGAGGATTACCTCAATCCCAGGCTAACTCCGACCCGAATCTTGTCCTGTTGTAAGGAGGTACGCTGCAACCAGAGGTTGTGAGTAAAGATTTAATTACAGCGCTAGTAAAATACAACAAGCATTGGCAAAGGAAACAGCGGCGCACAACGAGAACAAGGCAGCCGGCAGAGAGCGAGAGTCAACGGTGCGAGCACGACGCACACGGCTGCCGAGGAATAATCGATAGGGCGGCAGCGGTTGCGAACTGTGCACACACACTGTGCACTTGCGAAGGAGCACTGGCCGTCCCTCAACCTTGCTCACAATCCTCTGATAAATGCAACACAAACAGTAACAGAGCAAAACATAAAGATCACTGTCTTACCTCCCGCCAATGGGGGGGTGGGGACGGGGGGAAGGGGGATGGGCATACATCACATCTGGAAAACATAAGAAATTTTGTAAGCGTGAATAATCCTAGGTTTAAAACTTTAATCCGTACTTTTGATTTTTAGGTTCTTCAAACCATATCTTGTTTTGTTTCAGGACCATATCTTGTTTTCCTGGCCTCGACAATTAATGGTTATGAAGGAACCGGTCGTTCTCTCTCGTTAAAATTACTTCAGCAACTCCGTGAACAAGCGGCTGGTTTGCTGAAAAATGACAAGGGTGATCAAATAATGGCACCTGTGAAAGGTTTAGCATTTTTTTTTCGTCTAAGGCTGAATTTTAGTATTTTTTCGTCTAAGGTTGAATCTCCTCAAATAGGCAAGATTTTGTTTGATAACTTGTTTTTTCAATGGATCGAAACACTTCTTACCATTGTAATAATCTCACAAATTTTCTGATTTTCATTTCTTGCCTTCCTTTCCCTTTTTTCCATTCTTTCCTGTTAAAACTTTCTATTTAAACTATTTCAGGTCGTGCGCTGCATGAAATGGTTCTGGAAGAAAGTATTCGTTACAAACCTAGTGACCCGGTAAGTTCGTTACTTAAGCATTTCCCAGGATTCAGACGTTTTCAAATATTGGGTTATTTGAGTTATTTCAGTGAAAATTTGCTTGTTCTGACTGCGATGCGTTTGTTTCATGTAGATTTGCAAGCATTTTATATCTTCACGACACACTTTCTTTCGTTATGAGCGATTGGAAGATACATGGATACATTTTTGTGTCATCGAATTTCGGCACTAACTTCGACTTTTCCTATTAGGTTGGTGTACAGCAGGGTGGGATCTGGGTTTTGTAGATTAAAATATCAAGTGATCTAGAAATTCGGATTATTTTTTTGGTCCTCAAGCAGCTCCTCAGCCCAAAAATCGTTAGCAACTCGGACCCGAACCGCAATCGTAATTACTCTTTAGAGAATAATTGGTTTATTGATCCTCGAAATGCAGAACCTATTGCACCTCTGGGCTATTTTCGTCTCCTAACCTACTTACTGAAGTAGAGGATTAGGTGGGTGAATGCGAAACGTGGTCAAGCGCGAAAGTTGAAGTGCGGGCGCTGGCTGTGATCAAGAGAGCGATGGAGTGAAAGATGTCTGGCATATAAGCAATCAGGCTGTCCGTCAGATGGACTGTATGCAAGCAAGATACAAGTAAACCTAACATGAATTGCTAAGAAATTTTGAGTGATTGTTACAGGTTGAAGCTTGGTTGAATCGTGTGTTATGCTTGAATGCCTGTGATGCACATCGTTTGGTATCCGGAATGCCGCCGCCCAAAGATTGCGAATTGTTAGTCGTTTTTAAGGAAAAAAAGAAAAATTGACCACTCTGAAGAAAAATTAACCAGGAAAAATTAAATTTGTTGCAGGTCACACTCATGATTAGTTATTTTTTATGTGATAATTTGAAATTATTTTTTTTTTATTTTTTTGGTACACATTAGTTTTTGTTACTCATCTTCCCCTCCCGCTAACGTTACTCGCCTTGCCCTCGTTGCTGTGCCAAAAATTCGCGTCCATACCTTATCAGCTATTGTCAGAATATTATCATTTTTGAGTGCCTTTGTATCCTCTGGAAGGTAAAGTATACGGGGTGAAGTTTCGGGATTTTTTGTCGAAAAAATTTACTATTAAAAATTTCCACAAAACCACTGCACGTGACTTTCTTGCTCGTAGTTCCGTTAAGAAAGCTTTATGTTACAGATTATACGTTAATCGCGACACACTGTTTTCATTCCACAAAGCGTCAGAAACATTTCTGCACAGTATTATGGCCATATACGTTTCGGCACATTACAAAAACTCGCCCAACGATCTGCAGGTGATTTTTTGAGAGTTTTTTTGATTCTTATTGTATTTTTTGTGTTCGTCCCTATCGATTTTTTGTATTGTAGATGCTATCGGACGCACCAGCGCATCATTTATTTGTTTTGGTCGGGCCACTCAGTGACACACAGGCACAGCTTCCTGAGGTTTGCTTATTTAATATTTCAAGCGCTACTAAACTGATGTTCCCGTTTGCGAAGAGTACCTTAATTGAATGATTTTTCAATGGGAATGGTCCTCATTATACATATGCGGTCATCTGTTAAAAAACACAATCCATTGCCGCGGAAAACCCGCGAAAAGCAGGCCATGTCGCCACAAAGAAAAAGAGAGGAGAGATGTGTCTTGCCTTGAAACGTAGATACACAGTAGATGTGCTGCCAGGTTGAAGGTAAAGTACGAGGACCGGTGGTGTAGTGGTAACGTGTTGCGTCTGAACGCGGAACGGGGTGGTTCGATTCCCTACCGGTCCAGGACGATTTTTGAGAGAAGGGGCTCCTTTCACGACTTTTCCACTTTGACTTGGACATGCATGGTAACAAATTCTAATAAGTTTTCGATGAGCCATTTTTTCGACAGCTGCTTGAAAGCAAACTGGTGGGGATTTTGGGGTCGAATGTAGAGGATGGGCTATCGTTGAATAATCTTAATTCTCGTGGTTTGCTTTGAACGATGTTGAGTTTGGTTCCATTGTTTGTTGATGAGACACAGATTTTTTAGGTCTTAGCAGTAATACAAATTGCGATGGAGGGAGCACTTTCTTCGTCAACAGTATCGGATAATATGAAACGAGGGAGAAGGGCAGCTGGTGATTTGCTTCCGTGGACAATATCTCAACAGTTTATGGCAAGTTGACGTTTTTTAATTCCATTATTTGTTCAGTATATAATCATGATAATAATATTAATGGCAAAAATAACAGTATTAGTGGGGATCGATGAGTATTTAAGGGTTGTATCGAATGATAGGGCAAGGCCTATTGAAATGATGTTTCGTTTGGATTGTAAAATTAAGGGCCAGAAAAGCCAAAAAATCGTTTAATTGGCCCTACTGATTTGCGCATATGTTCATTGGATTTTGATAAAAATATTATGTTTCAGGATAAAGATTTTCCAACTCTTTGTGGAGCTCGAATTGTACGGATAGCGGTTCATCCCGATTTCCAGTGTGAGTTTCTACGCGCATAAAACATTTTATAATTTTTAAAAAATACTTTGCTAAATATAGTTCACGTAAGGCACATGCTTTCAGGGGCGCTCGATTTGCACCTTATAAAGCAAAAGGATAAGTTAAAATCTACCTTGTTTTTCCTTACCTTTTTTTTTCTCCCCTCGTCTGCCCATTTTTCATGTTTCACTTTCCATAAGAGAAAAACGACGATGGGAAGCAGTGGAAGTGATAGCATTTGCTGGTCGGACGTATGCAGAGCTGCCCTTATTACTTCTAATTTTAGGCACACAAAAAATTTTCTCATATTTGTCCAGGTCTTTCCCCTACCTCTTCGCTGTGTAAACACTCCTAAGCGTCACTGTCTACCTCACTTGCATACTGAATATCAGCTTGTTCGGTTTTTTCTCTCTTTACACACTGCGATGCGAATTCGACCCCACGCGAGCTGCGTCCAATAATGAAATGTTCAAAAAAATCAAATTTAGCCTACCACGCTGGAACATCCAAATCCAGTTGGTTTGAAAATAGGTCCTGTCGAGTCAAAGCAATTTTGTCTGGTAAGCGCGGAGAATTGCAGCAGTGCTTTTTTGCTTTGTTTAACAGTTTCTTGTTTCCTCATCGGATGCTGATGCGTAGCAGGGATGAATACCGCACTAATCTGAAATATTCCGTTGCAGCACTAGGCTATGGTTCCAGAGCACTTGAGCTTCTCCAGGAATATTTCCAAGGCGTCGTGCCATGCCTGAAAGAAGATCAAGAAGAATTTGAAAGAAAAGCCAGAGCGAAACAGATTGAAGTAATTCAGTTTTTTTGCATTAAATTATTTACTGTACTCGGTTTTTATTGCCTTTTTCGTCCCAATTAGCTTTGTTTATGGTTGCTTAGTTATCAAAAACATCAGGAGTATCTGTCGCAAACAGAGCTCTTTCTCTCAAAAATTGTTCTGGACCAGAAGGGAATCGAACCACTCCTTTTCATGCCTTGATGCGATTTGTTACCACTACACCACCGGTCTTTGTGCTCCGGTTCAGCCTTACAGCACATTTGCTGTGTATCTGGGCAGATGCCTTCCAGGGCAAGATGCACCTTTCTTTTCTTCTGTTATTTGTGGTGGCTTCTTGGCCGGCTTTTCTTGAATTTTACGCAACAGTACCAATCGAAGCGTAGTTGCCCTCGTCAGAATGGTATTGGTAGAAATGGCTGGGGGCGATCCGGCCAAAATTTGCACCAACCAGTGATTCCATTACTTATCATTCTCGGAATATGTGTTATTTCATTGCTATATTTCGTGTTATTATAACTGGTGGTATCTCCCTTTCACATAGTTTTAAATTCATATCGTTCACCCAACTCCATACAGTTAATTGACTGTACCCGTTTATTTCACTGGATGCGTCAGGTGTTTTTTAAAAAACATGCAAGCTTATTTTACAGAATCCTGAATCGTTGGTGCTTTTGGAAGAGGTGGTTGAACCACGAACTGATTTGCCACCACTTTTGCATCGGCTGAGTGAACGGCGTGCTGAAAAGCTGGATTATCTCGGTGGGTGTCTTCTTTTCATTAAAATATTTTTTTTCTTTTGGTGAGACTCTTTTTTTCCAACTCAGACAGCTTTCTGAGACTTGTCAGGATAAAAGGCGCATTTTCAGGATCAAAAGCGATCCTAGATTTAGTGGTGCAGGTAGCTGGCTTGCTAAGTTTTACTTTCATTTTAGGATTAAGCTTTAAAGATGCCCGTCATTGTTAATTTTGATATAAGGTAGAGTTTTTTAGGCATAAGTGGATCCAGGATGGCTTCCTAGGTGGGGAGTGAAAAGCGGGGTTAGGGGGTAGAGGGGCGAGGCTTTTGGCAAGGGCGACTGGGGATGCGGAAGAGAGTTTTCTTCGGTTTTAGCACTTCTACCTATGCCGCGGGGGTCGAAAGGCCCAGCTTCTCCCCTCCCTCCCTCCCCCTTCTCCGCCCCGTTGGATTCACCTATGTTTCTAGGTGCCTAACTTTTCTTTCTTCTATAGTTCGCAGAAAGAAAAATACACGTATTTGTGTGTTGTTTTTAGGTGTTTCATTTGGCTTGTGTGTACCTTTGCTGAAATTTTGGAAACGAGCCGGCTTTGTACCGGTCTATGTCAGGCAATCAGCGAATGATCTCACTGGTGAACATACATGTATTATGCTGAAATATATGAATCAAGGTAGTTTTTTGAAGGTTCGGTGCTTCATGATTTCCCCGAAAATGTGTTCAGTTGAAATTTGAAAACGTATAAAACTTTTTTTAAAGTTGTTAGGGCAGCAGTATTTGGTTGTATTCTTCCGACGAAGGGGGGGGGGGGGGGGGGGGGGGG